TCCAGAAGAGGCCTCACCAACATCCTGCACACCCTCAACTTGATGTCCCAATTCCTACACTCTAAGGTCTGAGCAATGAAGGCAAGCGTGCTAAACGGCTTCTTTAACCCATTAGGAAGGGAGACTCAAATGGGACATAATACTCCAGGAATGGTCTCACCAAGGCCCTGTATCACCGCAAGAAGATATCCTTGTTCCTGACCTCAAATCCTCTTGCAATGAAGGCCATTGTACTATTTATTTCCCCTTCTAATTGCTCATTGTCCCTATTTATGTTGTCCCAGGAGATCCAGATCCTATACTCAGCTTTCTGTTCTCTTACCCTGACGAACTTATCTAAGGTATGATCTACCTGGATAGCACGCAATACTGTATCTCAGTGCATGACAATAAGAAAAGCAAATCAAATCCCTTTGTATATCCACCCTTTCCAATATATCCTTGCTCCTGATGATCAGGAAATCCAGAACCACACTCTAAGGATAAGCTCTTTATGAAAGACAGTGCAGCACAGAAATAGGCCCTTTGGCCCATCAACACCGTGCTGTCATAACGTATCTTTCTAAACTAACAACCTTTTGCCTCTACACAGCCCATATTTTCTAAGGGTCACCTGACCTGAAATGTCAAATCTGATTTTTCCTTCAAAGATGCTGCCAGACCTGCTGAGCTTTTCCAGCAGCTTCTGTTTTTGTTCCTGACTCACAGCATCCGCAGTTCTTTCGGTTTTTCTCTATTCCCTGCCTATTCATTTCTCTCTCTAAATGCTGCCACCATCACCTCCTTTGGCAGTGCATTCCAGGCATTTACCACCATCTGTCTTAAATAAAAAACTGCCTCTCACATCTTTAAACTTACTCCCTTTTACCTAAAACCTGTGTCCTCCAGTAATTGACATTTCTGCTGTAGGATAAAGGCTCCCAACGATCCACGCGTCTCATTATTTTGTAAACTTCGTTCACGTTGCCCCTCATCCCTCGATGTTCAAGTGAAAACAAACCAAGTCTATCCAATCTCTCCTCAGAGCTAATATACTCCAAACCAGGCAACATCCTGGTTAACCATTTCAGTGCCCTCTCTAAAATCTTTGCATTCCCCTGGTAATGTAGCAACCAGAACCATACACAATATTCCAAATGTGACCAAAATGAAGTTCTGTACAGCTGGAACATGACTTGCCAATTTTTATACTCTATGCCCTGACCGATGAAGGCACATATGCCATATGCCTTCTTGATCATCTTATCCACTTGTGTTGCTACTTTCAGGGAACTGTGGACCTGTATGCTTTTATCCCTCTGTATGTTGATGCTACTGAGGGTTCTGTCATTTCCAGTCCACTTCCCTCCTGCATTAGATCTTCCAAAATGCATCACCTTGCATTTGTCTGGATTAAATTCTATCTGCCCGTTCTTGACCCAAGCCTCCAGCCTATCTATATCTCCCTGTATCCTCTGACAATCCTCTTCACTGTCAGCACCTCCCCCAAACTTTGTGTCATATGCAAACTTATTAAATCAGGCCAGCTACATACTCCTCCAAATCGTTTGTATCTATATTATAAACAACAGGGCTCTGAGAACTGATCCCTGCAGAATACCATTGGTCACAGATCTCCAATCTAGAAATTACTTTTCCACCCCTACTCTCTGTGTTCTGTGACGAAGCCAGTTCTATATCCAGCTCACCACGGATTCCATGTGACTTTACCTTTTGTATCAGCCTGCCATGGGGAACCTTGTCAAAGGCCGGCTTAAAGTCCATATAGACCGCATCTACTGCCCTGCTCTCATCATAGAATCCCTACAATATGGAAACAGGCCCTTTGGCCCTGCAAGTCCACACTGACCCCCATAGCATCCCACCCAGACCCATCCCCCTATAAGCCACCTAATTTACACATCCCTGAACACTGTGGTCAATTTAGCATGGCCAATCCACTGAGCCTGCACATCTTTGGACTGTGGGAGGAAACCGGAGCACCTGGAGAAAACCCACACAGACACGGGGAGAATGTGCAAACTCCACACAGACAGTCGTCCGAGGGTGGAATCGAACTTGGGGCCCTGGCGCTGTGAGGCAGCAGTGCTAACCACTGAGCCACCGCACCACCCCTTTGCCACCCAATCATCTTTGTCACTTCCTCAGAAAACTAAATCAAGTTTGTGAGAGATGCCCTTCCCCTCACAAGGCCATGCCTGTCACTAATAGAGCCATATTTTTCCAAATATGAATAAATCCTATCCCAATAATTTCCCCACGACTGACAAAGGCTCACCAGCCTGTAATTTCCCGATTATCCCTGTTGTCCTACTGAAACAAAGAAGCAATGTTGGCTATTCTCCAGTCTTCTGGGAGCTCTCCTGTGACTAAAGAGGATACAAAGATTTTGTACAAGGTCTCAGCAATTTAAGATAAATCTGATCAGGTCCTGGGGACATGTCCATCTTAAGGCATTTCAAAACACCCAACAACACCGTTTTTATATCACTACGCCCTAGAATATTAACATACCCTCTCTAGACTTACCACCCACCACGTCCTTCTCCTTTGCGAATATCAATGCAAAGTATTTATTAAGGATCTCATCTACTTCCTCCATAATCTCCCTCCCTTGCCCTCGAGTGCATAGGTTTAAGGTGAGACGGAAAAGATTTAAAAGGGACCTAAGGGGCAACTTTTTCATGCAGAGGGTGGTGTGTGAATGGATTGAGCTGCCAGAAGAAGTGATAGGAGGCTGGTATAAGTGCAATATTTAAAAGGCAATGGGATGGGTACATGATTAGGAAGGGTTTAGAGGGATACCTGGCAAATGAGACTAGATTAATTTAGGATATCTGGTTGGCATGGACGAGTTGGACCAAAGGGTTTGCTCAGTGCTATACAACTTTAAGCCTCTATTGGTTGAGGCCAAAACATTCAATGCTTGCAAAAAAAGAATTAAATATAGTTCTTAGGACTAAAGGGAGCAATGGGACTGGGGAGAAAGTGGGAACTGAGTTGGATGATGAGCTGTGATTATACCGAATGGGCCAAATGGCCACATCCTGCTACCATTTTCTACATTTAATTGAATAAACAATCTGCTTTGTTTGTTACACACTCACATTCATCCACATCGAACTCGATCTGCCAAGTGTTCCCTTGCTCAGTCAAAAACAGCCCCGAAGCCTCCTCACAATCCTGCCTGAAAATTTCCAAACCCGGGAAAAGGAAGTGGGGGGGTGGGGGTGGTGGTGCTGGGAAACGTGCACAGGATATGTGGGTATTCGGAAAAGCAGGCATTGCCAGAGGGGACAGACTCTCAATCGAAATTCCCAAAAGGTCGCCCAGGCCTGGGGCCTAGCAGGTACCATCGCCTGGCAAAGAAGTAGGCCTCAGCTTAGGCCTGAAAGCAGAGGGGCAACACATGGTGACTACGGCTCAGACACTGAAGTTTAGTTCCCATGTGTTTACTCCAATGATCATCTGCAGGCCATGCTGCGGCCACAGTGACATCTCTCTTGGGAACCTAATGGACTGTTTCCAAGATGGCTGCCAGGGGTAGCGATGTTGCAGATTGAGATAAAAAGACCGGGCAGACCCCCTCAGGAACCATGTTCTCCCTCTCTCTAGGGCTGCCTCACATTTCAGAGACATCCTTTCACTGCCACATGGGATGTTCCAGCTCTCCCCAACCAATGGAAGCGCTGCTTTTGTTTTGGGAAGGTGAGGTAATGTAGAGGGTGCACAGCAAGATCCCGTGTAATCCCTGACCCCAGGCTGTCATTTTGTTTTTTTCTCACAAAGTGATGTTGGTTCTTGGGTCCGAGGCATCAAGATGTAAGAGAACAGACCAACACCCCGCCCCGATCATCAAACCTACTCCTTGACCCCTCTACACTCCCAACCCTACCTTCCCCTTCCACCCATCATTCCTTTCCCCCACCATATCCTGCTATCCTCCACGCTTCCATTTGCTCCCACCCTCCTTATTTCCATCGCCTCTTTTACATACCCGTCATCACCAATCCTCCTCCTCTCTTCTTCAAAACACAATGAGATGTTACACACCTACCTGACAGCACAGTCAAGAGCGCAATCAGATGTCACATCTGAAAGGTTAGCCCCCCGACAGCGCAGCGCGCCCTCTGCACTGACCCTCCGACAGCGCGGCACTCCCTCAGCCCTGACTCTCCGACAGCGCAGCGCGCCCTCTGCACTGACCCTCCGACAGCGCGGCGCTCCCTCAGCACTGACCCTCCGACAGCGCGGCGCGCCCTCAGCACTGACCCTCCGACAGCGCGGCGCGCCCTCTGCACTGACCCTCCGACAGCGCGGCGCTCCCTCTGCACTGACCATCTGACAGCGCGGCGCTCCCCCTGCACTGGCGGTTAACTGTTGAGATCATTCGTGATGATTTCCCGTCTCCGATGGTCTGAAAGGAATCTTCCTGTGCTGAAGAACGGAGGCTTATTGGCGTACAGCTTTTGTATGATTGTCTGAGGATCCTGAGGACACGGTCGGAGGGTGGGGAGGGGGGAAAACAGTGTACCATGTAGCCCCCACCACCTCCACAAAGGCTCAGAAGAAGCTGTCCTGGCCTCAGCCACTTTGGCCAACCTCCCATTTTCCTGGGGTATGCGCAACTGGCCCTCGATTCCTGTTGCCCGTTGGCATGCAGAGAGGGGAGGGCGGGCGGACTAAAAGACCTGCTTTGCCGAGTGCTGGCTCGGCATCCTGTCCTGGAGCGGGTGTTGTTTTCGGGTGTGGACGAGGGGAATGTCGCCAGGCGCTAGGAAAACAGGAGGCGGTGAAGAAAAATTGAACCGGAGATCCGTGGTGAAGGGCGACGAAGGACAGGGAGTCAATTAAAAGCCTGAAACAGAGCATTGGAAAAACCCCGGACAACGATGGGGTGGGGGAGGGCATCGCAGCCATTGGCCCAGATCTTCCTGGGGTGCCAAACCTACCTCGCAACAAGGAGCTCTGCTAACGGTGGGATTGAAAGGGGCCCGCGCTTTTGGCAGTTCTTTCTTTTTATTGGTTATATAATATGCCTCAAAAACATCTGCATGAATGATACTAAATTTACACAAATCTTTTCAACCCTCTCTCCCCTCCGCCTCCCGCTCCTCGCTCCATTTTTATCGTCTCCCTCGCTCCTGAACTACAAAAAAAAAACTGAAGCAGTGACAAACTCGCTGGATCCCGCCCATCCCCAATTCTCCCCCACACCCCGTCCTCCCCACCCAAGACCGCCCCCAACCCCCCACCCCCCCAACCCCACCTCCCCACAGAAAACAAGAGAAACGAAATAAAAGCAAAAGGTCCGCAGAGTGCCCGGGGAGGGGTCACTGCCCCGAGAGCTCGCCCACCAGTTCGACGCCATGTTGTTGTAACTGAGCCCGCAGCACGGCGTTCTCACTTTTCAGCTCCTCGATCTGTAGAGACACAAACCACACAGCGGCTTAAACGCCCCGGAGGCCACTTGGCCAATCCGTGCCAGGCCAGCTCGCACTCCCACTGAGACTGATACACTCAAACCCCGCACCCCTACCCACTGGGCACCAACCCAAACCCCATTCCCACCGAGACCGACAGACCCAACGCCCACACCCCTACCCACCGGGCACCAACCCAAACCCCACTCCCACGGAGACAGATATACCCAACCCCCATAACCCTACCCACCAGGCACCCAACCCCATCCTACTCCCACTGAGACCAATGCATCCAAGCCTCGCATCCCTACCCACTGGGCACCAATCCAAACCCCACTCCCACCGAGACCAATGCACCCAAAGTCCACACCCCACCCACTAGGCATCAACCCAAACCATACTCCCATGGAGACTGATGTACGCAACCCCACCAGGCACCCAACCCCACCCTACTCCCACCAAGACCAATGCACCCAATTCCCACACCCCTACCCACTGGGCATCAACACAAACCCAGGCCCATTGTTACCCCAAGAGAAACAGAGGGAGGCAGAGAGGCAGTGGAGGTGGGTACAAGAGCGAGGAAGGGGCGAGAGATGGGGGTTGAGAGAGAGAAGGAGCGTCAAGAAGGGGTGGTCGAGAGACTGACAGACCCAACGCCCACACCCCTACCCAAGTGGTGGGGCAAGACACAGAGAGGGGCAGAAGTAGGGAGCGAGATAGGTATGAGCAAGATAGGGTGGGAGAGAGGAGGCAGAGACAGAAAGAGGAAAGAGAGACTGGTGAGGGGGGAGCAGAGTAAGAGACAGAGAGGCAGAGAGAGCGAGACGCGGGGGGAGGCAGAGAGAGCGAACCGCGGTGGGGGAGGTCG